CACCTCTGAAAAAATAAATAAACACGCTAAATAAAAACTAACATAAATAGGATCACTTTACACTTTTTTCTTTGTACAAACTAGTCCACACACCTCTGAAGAAATAAATAAACACGCTAAATAAAAACTAACATAAATAGGATCACTTTACACTTTTTTCTTTGTACAAACTAGTCCACACACCTCTGAATTTCTACATCAAAACTAATCTTGTTTATTTATTTGAATTTTGTTAAATGACTGAATTGGTCAAGAATAATTTTCGTAGAGTAAAAAACTTAGAAATACCGTAAAACTTTATTATATTGTATGATAGATACATCTATTAGCTTTCAACTTGAACTTAACATGAAGGTTTTACCTCATAAAACAGTAGGAATTTAAAGGCAGAATAATCTTTACTAGTAACTATATTACACACTTTCTTACCAATAGAAGTCTTCCTCTGAGTTTGCTTTTTCTCTGCCCTACTAGGGTTTACCTTTTGTCCATCAGTTTTTGGAGTTTTTAAGCTGCTTCCAAACAGGTTATCATCCAAATCATCCAAACCCTGAAACAAGAAATAAACATCTGAATACAGTTCTTATATCAAAATCCTGAATTTAAAAGCCCAAACTTTTTGAAACAATATACTATGTTTATCAATAACTTCTAATCAAAGCAAAAAAAAAATCAGAACTAAAACAAAAATAGCCCAGTAAATACTGTAAATAATTTCATATACCAATCTAATTAGGAGTAGACAATGTCATAAAACAAATACTTAATTATTATAATACACTCATTACATAAAATGTGACTTCCCCAAAATTAAAAACCTACAGCAATCAGGCTTTACTTTGACACCTGCAAAAATTAAAAATAACTTAAAACTTCAAAATGCACAGATCTTGGTAACTACTATTACCCATAAGTAATTTAACTTGAACTGGAATATATTCTGGAATTAATTATAAACATTTCTTTTTAATAACCTGTTTCTAACTCAAAAGTTGAACTAATTACCGCTAGTGATTTGGCAATTTCATCGGGGTCAGAAAAATCAGATGATATATCTTCTTCTTCATCAGCCATGGAAACATAGTAATCAGTGTCTGCTCTGAATAATAACACAAAATAACATCACTGAAACTAGAGTAGTGCCAATATACTAAATCTTTTTACAGTGGAGGTAATACATTAGGAACCCCAAGAAATGAGTTACCTATTATACATATTGTTCAAGTATTCCAGGTCAACCAGCAATAACAGTTCATCCTAACTTAAAAAATTGTAAAAGCAACTTGCTGAGGTTGTTGAAAATATGAAGATATTTGGGCCTTTTGCGTATTTCATCAGATGAAATTACCCTAAACACCTTAGTCTACCAAACATCCAAACAAACTGTCTTATCATTTATAATGATTTCTGGTCATCTCTTGAATAAAAACTCATGTGAAGTTAAAATATTTTACACAACATTATGATGCAAAAAATATTAAATCAACTTTTAATTACTTTTATAATATAATCAAAAGCATGTATTTTATAATTAAAGCCCATGAATGTTTTTGATTAAGTGATTTGATATTACTTTTATGTATTTGTAAATTTTTAGAACTTATTTTTTTACTTAGTTTTTCAACAAACAGCAATCTTTGAACTATATGAAATGAATTAAAAATAAAACATTTTATAATCTACAAGATTTAAATTTCTCAACAGTGTAAACAATATGTACTCAAATTATATTAATAAGTACATGTATGTGAGGGTGTGCAAGTAGAGAAATTTGAATAAACATTGCTTAAATATATGCAAAATCTTATGAAAATAGTAGTGTCTTATTAATAAATCAATTCAATTATTATATAAACTAATACTGAATTCAGATTCTTCATTTTCAAAGTAATAATGAATAATAATGCTGTTGTTTGTCATTAGTCAAATTTTTCTACCCTTCAAATCAATCAAGCACTCTTCTTTCCAAGACTTCCAAGTTCACCTCCATTCTCAAGTTCCAAGTGTTTAATTCTATAATCCAAAAACAATCACATTAATATTTTGTCCATCACAACCAGGGATAACTTAATCAACGAGTAAAACTGCACGAATAAGTTGCATTATCATAGAATTGATTGGCCTTTTCTTTTTTCTCTTATCACATTTTTTTCGTTTTCTGAATCAATGTTTCATTTGATAATGATCATGTCTGGAGCTTCTGAGTGTAATCAAACTTTGATCAGTGAATTCATTATACTTTACATAAGCTCAGCTGTAACCAAACACTGACTATTACACATGCTCAACTATAATTAGATTCTGTTCAATGAATCCATTATAATTTATAAAGATGAGTAGTGTCTGTTCATATTATAAAACGACCAGAGCCAACAAGTATAGAATTAGAAGTACAAGTATGAATGTCTCGCTATTAGGTTTTCTTTTCTGTAACATACACAGCTTTGGCTATTTCTACCATAGGAAAGGATGAATATTTTATAGTTAAATTCAAAAGGTGTTCAGTTATGAAGTAGACTTAATCAGCTGAATAAATTTTCTTTATATATATATCCACTAGTTGGAATTTGGTCACAATACTTAAACAATTCTTAGTTACAAGAATTTGTAGAAAAATTATATTATAAAGATTCAACAATCAAGATTTAAAATTTTAATGTAGAATGACCTCTAAAATGACTTGGTAAATCCTGGAATCTAAAATGTTTCAATATTTAAACTAATCCGAATCCAGTTCCAGTATTTCTAACAATAATATAACATCTTTGCCATAAAACAAACAAGAAATCAGCATTCCATTATATAGCCGATATTTTCAGTCATATTTTTCTATTTACAACATCTTTGTAAAGTAAAACCAAGTTCGTAATTGATGAGTAAAGATTAATGATGATGACAAAACTGATTTTATAACTAGAGCTTTAAAAACATCCTATTTTATAGCTATGGTTACATTTATAATTATCTTGATGCTACAGTGAGTTCTGATAGTGATAACTAAAAAGGAATTTAAGGAGCACTGATTCATATCTTCAGAATAAAATTAAATAATTAACTGGTCACAAGATGATGGGTGAGAAGAAAAGCTGTTCTTAGCACTGAGATTACCGATGTTAAATGCCTGTGTAAAACTTTTCTAATTATAGGTAATATATATATATTAAAACTAAGAAATAAAATTTCCAATGTATTATAAGTAATACTTGGTACTCTACGTCAGTACTACTTTACTCAGTAATCACTAGTGTTACTACACACTAGCCATTACTACTAGTATTAGTAGTACAAGCACTGGTAATTCTACTAATAATAATATTAATAGTACCATTACTATTAATACTAATACTTGGTAATAATGCCACTGTTCTGCTGTAATTAAAATGTTATTTAGGCCTGGTAAATTGAGCGAAGATTTAGACAAATAAAACATTAAAAGTACTTCTATAACTATTTAAGAGCAGTGGAGTTCAGGGCCATGCCGTCAGCCTTTTTTAACTTTAACTGTTTAAGCTTAAGTTTTACTTTAACTAAAGTTTGTGTTTAATTAATTTAGGTTATACCTGTGATTATTACTATTGGTATTACAAATAAATAAATGTTAATCTCTGAATAAAATTTAATATTACTTTTTTTTACCTTGATATCAATACAATAGGCCAAGTGTATCAAATCTGCCAAATACTAAAGTATAATAATCATTATTTTAAATATTCCAGAGTTTTTTACATGAAAACACAATTCGGATCGATCTATCTTTCCCTTCAGTTTACGATAACCGATTTTAATTCCCCACCACTTTAATCTACAAAACGCCACCTATAACTTTTTTCCGATAATAAACAGAACTCGTATTCATCTTTTGAAATAGAAAAATATTGTGAGACTATTGGAACTTCAATTTTAAGCCTCTTGAATTCTGAGATAATAAAAAAAGTATATTTTCACTAAATTTTAAACAGCATTATTGACGTGATGTTATTTTACTTTAACACTCAAAAATTTAAGAGCGTACGAATCTTATTTTTTAATTACATGGAATCTCTTTTTTTTCTCTTTCTTTTGATCAAGAATATGCTTAGGTAACGTATCTTTGTTTTTTTCAGAACTAAAAATCCAACTGACACAAGTCGTTCTTATATCATGGAAATTTGTGGTCTAAATAACACGATGTGTAAAATACAGTTAACTACCAAAAAAGGACCTTCATGAACAATTAGTTACAAAATAATAATAATGTTAATAAATAAATAAAGCTTGTTCTTCACGTCAGTTTTGCTTATTCAGATTCAATACTGTGTTACACAAAATAGTGTTCTATATGCTACTGATTAAATAAAATTATAATATTTTGGAAATTTTTTTCTTTGTATATTTATTAAATTGTTGATGGTGCTATACATATATATATTAACTCCCTCTATATAACTATGATTGGTATTTCTCAAGATAAATACTGTACTTATCTTTAACCGAATGATTCAGCGTTATAATCTGCCTATCTCTTTTGATCGCTGTATTAAAGTGTCGTGATATAGAGGGCGCTAAATTATTTGAGATAACTTATCCTTTGTATTTCCATAACTTGAATAATTTAATGCTGTCTTTCTCACCATGATCTACTTGCGTTATTAAAACGATTGAAATAAACATAATATAACGACTGAATTATTCGGGTTAGTATTTTCACAGAAATTTAGTTCTGTGGTATTTCTCACTCAGAACATCGCTCGGGCTATTCCGTCGCTATTGGATACGAAGAAGAAAAAACAAACTGTGTTTCGATTGGGTATTTTTATGAAAATAACGCATAGTGCCATCTATAATGAAAAATCTAAAAAACACGCCCTCTTGAACGCTGATAATTTCGAATAATCTTAAATTGTCAACCTGCGTTCACAAAATAAGCAAATAAGTTATATAAAATGTTTGATAAATTTCAATCATCAATTTACAAATATTCCAGAATCTAGTCAGAGATGAAAATGGGAAATTAGAAGCAAAATAAAGATTTTAATTAGCTGAGCAGAAGACTTGCAATATGTTAGTTTGTAGTTAACCATAAACCTACACAATGGGCTATCTGGGCTCTGTCCCCACAGGTATCGAAACCCGGTTTCTAGCGTTGTAAGTTTTCTAATATCCCGCT